ATCTGTTATAAATATTGCTACTCCATCTAATTATTGACATGCATTTGTGTCATAAATGTTTCACCATCCACTCACTTTAGATCTGCAGGTGTTTGTATGTCTAAAATCATTCTCTCTTTTTTTTTTTAAGATTTTATTTATTTGACAGAGAGAGAGAGATCACAAGTAGGCAGAGTGGCAGGCAGAGAGAGAGAGGAGGAAGCAGGCTCCCCACCAAGGAGAGAGCCCGACGCGGGGCTCGATCCCAGGACCCCAGGATCATGACCTGAGCCGAGGGCAGAGGCTTTAACCCACTGAGCCACCCAGGCGCCCCTAAAATCATTCTTTTATAGACAGCATATAGATGGCTCTTGTCTGTTTGGTTTTTTGGTTTTGTTCTGTTTTGTTTTGTTTTGTTTTTTTAATGTTGCTTGTTTTTGTGTTTTTGGGTTTTTTTTTTTGCCTCCTGACAGCCTGTGTCTTTTGATTGGAGTGTTTAGTCCTTTTACATTCAGAGTAATCATTGATATACATGTATTTAGTGCCATTTTATTACTTGTTTTGTCAATGTATCTGGAGATTTTCTCTGTTCCTTTCTAGTTTTTGTCACTTTTGGTCCTTCCTTTCCATGCCAAGATTCCCCTTTAATATTTTTTTTCAGGGCTGGTTTCATGGTCACATATTCCTTTAGTTTTTGGTTATCTGGGAATCTCTTTATGTCTCCTCTATTCTGAGTAACAGCCTTACTGGATAGTGTTCATTGCTGCAGATTTTTCCCATTCAGCAAATTGAATATATCATGTCACTTACTGTTGGCTTGCCAAGTTCCTATTGAGAAATCTCCATCCAGCCTTATGGGTCTTCCTTGTAAGTTAAGGGTTTATTTAGTGTTGCTGCTTTTAAGATTTTTTTCTCTAGGGGCGCCTGGGTGGCTCAGAGTGTTAAAGCCTCTGCCTTCGGCTCGGGTCATGATCCCAGGGTCCTGGGATCGAGCCCCACATCAGGCTCTTTCCTTGGTGGGGAGCCTGCTTCCTCCTCTCTCTCTCTGCCTGCCTCTCTGCCTACTTGTGATCTCTCTCTGTCCAATAAATAAATAAAATCTTTAAAAAAAAAAGATATTTTTTCTCTATCACTAGATTTTGCCAGTTTAATTACAATATGTGTTGGTATTGGCCTGATTTGTTTTGATGGGGGTTCTCTTTTCTCCTGGCCTGGATGTCTGTTTTCTTTCCCAGATTAGGGAAGTTTTCTGCTATTACTTCTTGAAATAAATTTTCTGCCTCCTTTTATCTCTTCTTCTTCTGAGACTCATATAATAAGAATGATTATACATTTGATAGAATCACTAAGTCCCCTAAGTTTATTCTCATATTACATAATTCTCTCTGTATATTGTTCAGCTTCATTATTTTCCATTATTTTGTCTTCTATATCACTAAATCATTCCTCAGCTTCTTCCAGCCTGGTTGTCATTGCATCATGTTCCAATTTCATTTATAGCATTGTTCATTTCTGACTGTTTTTTAACTCTTTTATCTCTGTGACAAGTATCTTCTTGATGTCTCCCATTCTTTTCTGAAGCCCAGTGAGTATCCATATGATTGTTACTTTAAATTCTGGACCAGGCATATTACTTATATCTGCTTTAATTAGATCTCTGGCTGTGATCTTTTCTTGTTGTTTCATTTGGGATGAAGTCCTCCATCTTGGCATTTTGTCTAGGTTTCTGCCTTCTTCTGTGTGTTAGGAAAACCAGTATGTTTCCTGCTCCTGAAATTAATGGCTTTATGAAGAAACAGTCATTTAGTTTCTAGTACCTGTCACTTCTGAGATTTCTCTTTGCTATGTTCTTTGTATGCTCTGCTGTTGTGTTTTGATTGCTCTGTCCTTCAGGCCAGTCGCCTGCAGAGGCTCTCCTTGCTTGCCGTGTACAGTATTTGTTCCTTGGCTTTAACTACTGTGGTGAGCTTTAACTACTGTGCTCTGGTCTGCTTATCAAATGAGACCTGATACTATTTCTACTCCAACTGAAGCCCTGTAAAACTCTTGTAGGGATACATGGTTTGGGCAGGGGTTTCTGCTGATCTTCTGAGGGAGGAGCCCACCATGCTGGTACTGGAGCAAGCTTGACTGAGAAGGGCAGTCTCATCAGAAAGCTGGGGTGTGGGACTTAGTGTAACCATGTTAGGCAGCCAGTATATGTGCTGTGGTGTTTCCTGCAGCTGGCTCTGTTTATGCTGAGGAGCAGGGGAGAAAAATGGTACCAGTCAGCTCTCATTCCCTGAGAGCAGTCTCCATGAATGCTGCCTCTCAGGGAAGCACTCTGAGAAGAGCAAATAATCTCCCACCTGTGTGCCCCAAGCATTTTCTAGTTTTCTGTTTTCAAACTGTACACCTCCAGGTTTTTTTGCCTAACTTCTCTCCAGAAGTACAGTGCCCCCCAGGCTCTATCCCAGATAATCCTGATGACCTTTAAAACTGCAACAAGCTTTAGAGACGTGGTGTGGTAGGGGCTTGTGCTGAGATTCTGGGGGATGGGTGCACATGCTGGGACTGAGGCAAACTTGACTAAGATGGGCAATACCAGTGCAGGGGTATGAGACTTGGTATAAGCAAGTTAATTAGCTATTGTCAGGGCTACACTGTTTCCCACTGGTAGCTCTGTGTTTATGCTGAGGGTTACTGGAGGAAAATGGCTCTGGCCCACTCCTTTGTTTCTGGAGAGGCATCTCTATATGAAAGCTGCCTCTCAGGAAAGCCCTCCAAGGAGATTGAATAATCTCCTTCCTGTATGTCCCACATATCCTTCAAATCACTATTTCCATGTTCTGTTCCCAGGTTGTTTGCCTGCCTTCTCCCTCCAAGAGCAGAGCAGTGCCCTCAGGGCTTTGTCCCAGCCAAGCCTACTAACTTTTAAAATTGTGAGTTTTAAGCCTCACTAGTTTTAAGAACTCATGAAAATCGGCCCCTCTCATGTTCCAAGCCAGTGGCTTTGGGTAAATATTCTCCTTGTGCATTCCCCTGTGTGTTCTGCTCTCTCTCACACCCTTTTCTGTGACTGCAGCTCCCTCCCCTGTGCAGTGCCCATTATCCATTTCTCTCCTAAGTCACATCTGCATACTTCCTACCAAATTTAATATGGCCTCTTCTCTCCCTTCAGTTGTGGAGTTTGTTCTGTCAGCTTTAGTATTGATTTCTGCAGTTATTAGGATGATTTGATTGTTTTTGTTGTGTTTGTGAGACAAGATGAGCCTAGGGTTCTCCTACTCCACTGCCATCTTCTTCAAAACCAATATGTATATTTTTTGAGAGAAGAACACAATCCAGTCTATAACATCTAGACTGTTAAACTAATCTTGTTACTATGCTTCACATACAACCCTAATCTTTGCTCCTACCAAGCTTTTCAGTCCACTCCTGTTATTGTCCTACCTCACTAGCTGTTCCTTCTCAATTATCTTTGCCAGTTGTTCTTTATCTTTAGATGCTGGAATATCCCAAGTCTGTCATCGGTCACATTCTCTTTCTTTGTTTGCTCTCTTAATAAGTACCCTCAGTTCTCTTGACCCTAAATGTTATCTCTTACTGAAATTTTCCAAAATTATATCTCTACCTCTAAATGAGTCTGCCCTGATCACTAGACAGGTATATATCTACCTGCTTTTTTTCTTTTTCTTTTTTTTTATTAATTGTCTTTACTTGGAACTCTAGTAGTATTTAAAACTGGAATCTTGATTTTTTTTTTCTACCAGACTGCTTAAACCTATTCCTCTTTCAGTATTCTCCAACTTAGCAAAATATCTTTACCATTCAACCATTTTCTCAGGCCATAAAACCCCGGAGTTAACCTTCATTCTGTGCTTACCACTTGATATCCAATCCATCAGCAATTCCTGTTAGTTCAGACTTTAAAAATAAAAGGTTGTTTCTGATGGCTCCTCTAGAAGGAATCACTCCAAATCTAATCACTCCTCATCACCTCTCTTGGTACATCCCTCATCATGTCTTATCCAGACAGTTGCAGTGGTCTCCCAACTGGTCTCTGCTTCTAATCCCTTCCATAATTTGTTCTATGTACAAGAACCATAGTGCTCTTTAAAAAATATAAATCATATCCTGTCATTTTCTTGTTCTAAAACCCTTCATCGCCAGCAGTTATCTCCTTCCACTCTGTTTTTTCTTCCATTCCAGTTACAGTGGGTTTTCCTCCAATGGAATGTTCTTTTCCCAGATCTTATTTCATTCAGTTCTTTTCTCAGATACTACCTCTACATGAAAGTCTTTCTTATCTAAAATATCCACCATGTATACACGAGATTTTTTAATTCTCTTCTCTTTTTTCTTTATATCATGTGTCATTACTTGAAATTGTATTTTTTTAATTTATTTCATTGTCTATCATGCTTTCCCCGCTAAAATATAAATTCAAAGAGCAAGGACTTTGTCTCATTATTGCCACATTTAAAACTTCGGGCAATATAGTAGGTAACAGTAAATATTCATTGAACGAATGAAATTATTCTGATACATGTTCTTACATAATTCTTTATATAGAGTTCAAGCCCTTGAAATTTCTGCCCAGCTTCTTCACCACCTATTATCCCTCCATACTCTCCTCCCTGCACCCCCCAAAACACAATCAGACAAAACTCAGAACATTAGTATCTTCCATTTTTAACAGATTTTAATCTATATTCCAATATTCTCCATTACTTTATCCCGTCTATCTTTGGGTGCTAAGTATTTTTTTTAATTTTATTTATTTATTTGGCAGACAGAGATCACAAGTAGGCAGAGAGGCAGGCAGAGAGAGAGGGAAGCAGGCTCCCTGCTGAGCAGAGAGCCCAATGCAGGGCTCAATCCCAAGACCCTGGGATCATGACCTGAGCCGAAGGCAGACGCTTTAACCCACTGAGCCACCCAGGTGCCCCGTTTGATAGAATTTTTATTTTACTTTTGAATTTAAATAACTATCTTCAATGTCAAAGCTTAACTTCAAAAAATTATTCATCTTCATTTAGATCACTCCCTTGATGGACCCCTTACAAATGGTGATGGCAGAGAGCCTCGGACAGGAATCAAAAGAAAACTACTTAGTGCATCAGAAGAAGATGAAAACATGGGAAGAGAAGAGAAAGAGAAAAAAGAAACAAAGGAGAAATCACATTTGTCCTCCTCAGAGAGTGGAGAGTTAGGATCCAGTTTAAGTTCTGAAAGTACCTGTGGTTCTGATTCTGATTCTGAATCAACTTCCAGAACAGATCAAGATTACATAGATGGAGACCATGACTATAGCAAATTCATACAAACCAGGCCTAAAAGAAAACTAAGAAAGCAGTATGCCAATGGGAAAAGAAACTGGAAGACAAGAGGCACAGGAGGAAGGGGCAGATGGGGAAGATGGGGTAGATGGAGTAGAGGAGGCCGAGGAAGAGGAGGCAGGGGACGAGGAGGTCGAGGAAGAGGTGCAGGTGCCACTAGAGGGAGAGGGAGAGGGAGAGGAGGAAGAGGTGCTTCTAGAGGAGCCACCAGAGCCAAACGTGCACGTATTGCAGATGATGAATTTGATACAATGTTTTCAGGACGTTTCAGTAGACTGCCTCGAATTAAAACAAGAAACCAAGGCAGGAGGACTGTTTTATATAATGATGATTCTGATAATGACAATTTTGTGTCCACTGAAGATCCTCTGAATCTTGGTACATCCAGATCAGGCAGAGTGCGTAAAATGACAGAAAAAGCCAGGGTTAGCCATCTCATGGGATGGAATTATTAACAGTTAATAAATTTAGAGTAATTTAAAAAATTCAATGGCCTTCTACTGCAGGGAATTTACTAGGAAATCTACAAAGCAAGTTGTGTGGGGACTTCTGCTTCCTTTCACATTGGTGCTTTTCCATTATGCCAGTATACATTTGTTTCAAGACTTTTGATCTCCACACTTCATTTGTTCAAACAAGCCTTACTCATTAGGCCTTAAATTAAAAAAAATTCTGCCCACATATAGACACACACACACACAACACATCACAAACACACTACAGATTTACTACATTAAAGGAGCATTCAGCTTCTTAGGAGTAGCATGACATTTTTATCTCAATTGAATATCCCTCTTTTGCTTTTGTATCACAGAAGTATAGCACCTTCTTACAGAGTTTTATATAGTTTGTTTTTGCCATTTTGATTCTTGTACCCAGTAATAATAACTTTTGCACAGTACACCAATCCTATAGGCAGCTATTAAATGTTTACAGTTTCTATATTGTAAGAACGATCTGGATTATTTTACTCTTCCCAGGCCAAACTTTCATGAATTGTACTGAACTGAAGTATATATTTATACTACAGTTTTTTGGGGGTGGGGGGAACTTGATATGCTTTTCATTGATTTGCTTAATTCATGTTAAAGGTGAGAAAGGGTTGGTGCCTTGTAAATATGTAGCAAATCTTTGTGATGTGTCCTGATGTTTGCATTAACTTTATTAAAAAAGAGTATTTGAGGTATCAATCTAGACAAGGTGCCAAATGCAAAAGTTTCTTGCATCCATTTTCTTTTTCCTATTATATTTTATTGCATTAACAGAACTTGTGTAGTTTAAAGAACAACTTAAACATTTGAAAAAAATCCTCATCCACAAAGATTAACTTCTTTGAATAGTAGCTCAGCTACCTCTATTAACTACAACTACTGGAAATGTTAAGGAAAATAGATGCTGTTTTTCATTACTGACTAAAAAAAAATTGAACAAGCTTGGTAGGAATGAATACTCATATGTTTTAAGCTGAGAGGTTGTTAATAATTGTATTGGCTCTCAAATTAATAGTTGTAATTAACAAACTTTCATAAGTGTAGTATGCTATACTTTAGGCTTTTCTTAGTACATACCTGTGTAAGTAGACTTGGTCTACTGCTTATGTATCTCTGCTACCACTTGCTACTTAACAGCTATGAGTGATTGGTTTTCATTTGAATTTTAAAATGTAACAAAGCAGCTAGTTTGAATTGGAATGTTTTGGCTAGCAAATATTTTGAGACAATTTTAATAAGTTTGCTCATACCATTCCAAAGGGTTCTTCTATTATAATATTTTAGAAAAGAACCTCATTACAATGCACACTGATATTCTAGTCATTATTTTATATATTAAAAAAATCTTTAAAACCCTTACGATCTTGTTTACAGCAGTAGAGTGCACATGATTCTGTAAATGAGCTTGAGTTCCAAGATGAATTTTAGTCCTCAAATTTGAGAAATTTCAAATTCACTAATTTGTTTTGGTGAGTGGGATAATATTAATCTCTGTTATTATAACAGCAGATTTGTTGCACTTAGATCAGACTTTGGAGATAAAAGAAACTTCTTAATGTATGCCTAATAATCCCAGGATATTTCTTAACCTAATGTGTTTGTTTCATGTTTCCAGTCATTTTATGCATCTGAAAATCCTTAAGTGCAAAGGAAGGAGTACACACATAACTTTGCTCTTTTGTTTGGGTCAGGTGGGGGTTGTTCCTGTACTAACAACTTTAAGCAATTTTCACTTGCAGTAGAAATGATGTTCAGGCTTTAAGAAAGTATTGTTGTGAATTGTTAATGGCACTAACTTCTGTTACTGAATAGTAGATCAAGCTGATTTTTTTGTTGTTGTAGTGTTGTTGTTATTGTTGTTGTTTTTCACTAAACCAAAACTACTGCTGGTTAAACTCAGCTGACACTTTTAACCATACTATAAATTCAAAAACATTCACATTTGAAACTCTGCATTTGATTTTTGCTAAAATACACTATTTTAATTATTCGTCTCATGGGCATTTGGACTAAATTTGTGCCTGTGTTTTCCTAGAATCAATAACACTTTGACTTACCCTAATCAAAGTAACATAGTTACTTAAATTCATGGATATACTCAAATGTGTATTACTTGTATCCTTTTAGTGTGAAATTTTTATGTTGACATTCTTCTATGAAGAGCTGATCCCTTCAAATGTAGAGGAATCGCTGTTTGTGTGATTTTAGCTATCTCAAGCTTTATTTATAATTTATTTTGAAAAATAAAAATGCCACATTTATTTCCCATATGTCAAGATTTTCTAGGTTTAGATAATTAGAATAAGGCTGAAGACATTTTTAAGCACATTTTATATGTAGTGAAATACTGTGAAAATACTAGTGAACAGCATTTTGCTATAATGTTGATTTCAGTTATTAGGATTTAAAAGTGACCAGGGTATGTTAGATGATCATATTTACCATTTATTACAAAACGAACAGATTATTTTCTGTTTGCATGCAAATTATTTTAATACGTGTGAAGATAAAAGTTTGGAAGATAGTATTTTTACTTTTATATCTGAACACTTCCCCCAATTTATACTTTGCTTGTTTGTAATGCCGCCTCCTGTGAATGTGTTGTAATTTGTATCACATTGAATATTGTACACTTTAATTTTTTAGAGTACCTTTAAATAATTTCAGGTTCAGGCATAGCAAAGCAAGTAGGAAATGAGGTGAAAATTTTGAAGAAAAGTCTAAATCTTAAATGAATTGCTAAGAAATTAACTTATATTTAGGTCCATGAGAACATACATATGTATAAACCTAATCCTATGCTGGATATTAATAGTCACTGAACTATAATATTTCTCATGAATGCTAATAATCTTTTAATTCCCAGCTTTAAGGTCTTAGCATGTGTTTCTGTTTATGAAAACAGAATTGTGTCTTCTGTATTGCTGTGTGTAACTCTTCCAGCAATAGGATGCTTTCCAAAACATTCACTAGCCTATCAGCTTAATGACTAAATGTGTGTGTGTGTGTGTGTGTGTGTGTGTGTGTGTGTGTGTATGTGTGTGTGTGTGTGTGTGTAGAGCTTTTCCCCAACTTGACACACTTTGTCTCGGACATTAAAAAAAACAATATTTTATATGGAAGACAGCTGTATTCACAGTCTACCAGTCTTTGCCTCTGTTTAAAGCACTTAGCCTGTATATATACTGCTTCATCATCCATTTCATTATGCCTTCTAGATAAACTAGGTTTTTATTAGATACATGTGTCCCTTTATCTTTTTTTTTATTCTTACACTTGTTTCTTTTAATGTTTCCCTTCCCAGAGATCAGGCTTGTGCTAGAATTCTCCTTACAGCACTTTGTTTCACCCAGAGGCTAAGAAATTGAGTAAAATTCATAAATCTCATAATGCACAAATGTGTGCTCAGATATCTAATTTGGCCTTGTAATACTTTGAAGGAAATTTGAGTGATTTGCTATTTTATTGTTTTGTTGGAATCCTATAAGTTGTCATCAGACAATAACAGAGTGATTGAAAAGAAAAAATGTGAATGCCACTTCTTAGTTTTTGAAAAAACTTGAGCATTTTTCAAAATTTTTATGTTTGTGGTAGTGATAAACACCTTTATTACTTGCTTATATATCTTGGGAATTATTTTATGCACATTTACCAACTGGTACTTATCTTTAAAGTTGGAATTTTCACATCCACAAAAAGGAAACTTACATCCTGTATAATTTTCAGTTTATTTCGATATCCAAACTTTTAAACAATTCCTAACATACTGAGTTCCAAAATGAATATAGTTCAGTTCTGGGGGACGGAATAGAATTTTTGACACTTAAAATTCACTGTTTTAAATGTTAACCCCATCCTTAATATTTTTGTGGTACCATGAGGCTTTATGAAAGTTTTATTGAAAATAGAGTATCATAACTTTTAAGGCTTATTTTAAAAATTAGTATGAAAATATTTTCATGCTTTTTTAAAATTTTTATCTCGTAGTAAAGTTCCTTTACTATGTTTTAATTACAAAGTTTACCAAGTTTTGTTTAAATTCTAATATAAAGTTAATTTTTTTCATGGTGCTATATTTTGTGAAATATGAATTACCCTCAAGTTTCTAGAATTTATTTCTTATATAGCCTTGATTATTTTCTTTTCAATCATCCCTGCTTTTATCCTCACTTCTCTTACTGCAATAAAGACTGCACCTAATTTAACACACTTCAACAAGACTGGCAATTTATGATTCACTGATGGGAGAAGTACAGTAGAAAGGCCCTGCAGTTTAGAGTTAAGGTGTGTTTATTTATATGTATGCCCATTTGTTATTCTTATACCTATATTAATTAAATTTATAATATGAGACTTTGACATATAAAAGCATGATAAGTATTTTCTAAAAAATAAAACTATTGATACATGTAATCACCATTGGTAATTGACTTTTAAAATCACATACAAAAATATTTAGAAACCCAGTTGGGAAATGTGTTTTTACATGTCACCAGATACACATTAGGCAGTACTAGAAATGTTAATTCTTTAAACAATACTGTGGTGATGGCAATCAGTAATTTATTTCTTTGTCCTGTAACTTACCATCTTTGTCTTTTGTAATCCCTTACAAAGTATTAACAAAACTGTACCTTATGTTTGTTCTTAGTATCCATAAAATTTTAAGATGGAAAGTCATTGAGTTAATAGTTGATGTGACATTATATATGGACAAAATGTCCATTAAACTAAAATTCAGTAAAGAAAGGTAAACTAACTGGCTTGGTTTATAAAAGATGTTTTGTTTGGCAGTTACCAGTCATTATAAGCAATTATCTTCAAAGACAAAAACTGGATTAATTTGTTGCCATTCTTTATGGGATGTTTACAATAAAATTCCAAGTTGTTTGGAATCAGTTGCACTCTTGCTGCTTTATGCTTTAACTCAGGTACTGAAGATAAATTAACAGTAAGAAAGAAAGAAGGAGTTTCCATTATTCAGCTTCAGAGATTTTAA